AATATGTTCATAGATCAGAAAACTCAATATTGTTAAAATAGAAATTCTCCCCAAAATAATCTATAAATCCAATATATCAATCAATACTCCACAGCATGCTTTTTATGGAAATTCGAAAACTGATTCTAGAATCAGCAATTCCTAGAATTGCTGGAACAATTTTGAAAAGAAGAAAGCTAGATGCATTACCATATCTGATTTCAAGATTTACTCTAATGCTGTATACAGCATCAAGACTGTTCAGTGATGAAAAAAAGATAGATATATACATCACTGGACCAGAATAAGGAAGGTCCAGAAACAGACCCACATATATATATATATATGTTCAATTGATTTTGACAAAGTGCTAAGGCAACTGAATAGGGAAAGTAAAGACTTTTCAACAACTGCATATACAAATGGGAAAAAATTAATATTAACCCTCGCAACACCTTATGCATAATAAGCCATAAACCTAAATGTAAAACCTAGAAATTTCCAGAAGAAAACAGTAGAAAATCTTTACAATCAGGGATGGCAACGTTTTCTTAAACAGAATACAAAAAGCATAAAACAAAAAAGGAAAAAATTATGAAAATTTTTTATCATTTTAATGATAAATTTAAAGCTTCAGCTCTGCAAAAGACATATTGAGAAAGTAAAATGGAAACCACAGACTGGGAGGAAATAATCAAGGCACTTATATCAGACAAAATAACAGTATTCAGAATATATTTTTAAAGTATACTACAATTCCATAGTAAGACAATTCAATTTTTTTTTAATGGGCAAAAGATATGAACAGACACGTCACAAAAGATATACAAATGGCCAATACAAACATGAACCAATGTTCTACATCATTATTCACCAGGAAAATGAAAATAAACACCATAATGAAACACCACTATACACCCCTTAAATTAGCTAAAATTGAAGACTGACTTTCATACCCTACTGGTAGGAATGGAACATAATACCACCAATTTGGAAAACAGTTTCTTGAAAAGTTAAATATACTCCTGACATAAGGCCCCAAACAACCTACTACGGTAAATACCATCGTAATAGAAAATACCATCTTAGGTATTTATCAAGAGAAATGAAAACATTTTTCCACACAGAGATTTGTATATGAATATTCACAGCAGCTTTACTGAAATACCCCCAGATGGAAAATAACCCAAATGACCATCAAGGTAGATAGCTAAGTACATTATAGTATATCCATAATGGAATTCTGTTCAGCAATAAAAACTATTTTTCATTCAAAATCATTATTCTAAGTGAAAAAAATCATGCAAAAAGAGAATATACTGTATGATTTCATTTATATAAAATCCTAAAACATGGAAACCACTGTTCAGTAACAGAAAACAGGTCAGTGGTATCTGGATGCAGGGGCAGGAGGAAGAATAGATGTGAAGAGACACGAAAAAACCTCAGGAGACAAAGAAATGTAATCTTGATTGTGGTGACAGTTTCATGGTTACTTAATATATGTCAAAGTTGATCTTACTGTATCCTTTGTGTACTATAAATATGCAGTCTATTGTACTTCATTTATACCTCAAAAAAGTTTTTAATGGGAATGGGAGATCTTCTCAGGTCAAAACTCACCATCCCAAACAATGGGAACAATCTCTAGTAGGAAGACTTGATAGTTCCAACAGGCCAATTAATAGGAGGCAAGTCCCATGTGACTCCTTTTAGGAAATGGTCCTCAAGGGAATTTCTTTACTGTCAGTGTGGGAGTCAGAAACACTCATATCCCCTCTCATGAATAAGCATGAGCATAGCAAAATATAATCAGTAATTCATATGATAAGCATGATTAACATCTTGAGGATTAAGTCAAGGTAGCTAGAGAATCCCTCCCTCCAGGTCTCTTATTTTTAAAAGACTCAACAAAAACAATTCCTACCTATCGTATCAGGGCATTTGATTATTTGTAAAAAAAACAGATTAATTCCAAACTTCCCTTCCCATAAATTCAAGAAAAAGCTTTTGGTTCAAACAATGACTATCGTAACTGTAGTGACTTTTTAATTTGTTGTCTGCGCCACACTACCTTAAAGCTTCAGCTTCTGATCACAAAGATGAAAAGTTTAAGCTATTTTCAACTTTCTGATCTACTAAGAATTTTTAAGAGACCCTAGTTCATTCTTTAGATGGAAATATTTAGATTTCATTAGAAAAGTATCTTAGTTCACTTGAGGATCCTTTGTAGCCTTCTTTTATTCTGCCCAATCCATAAATGCTGACGTTCTCCAGTTTTATCCACTACTCTCTTCTAGTCTCACATCTCACCAGTGGTTCTCAAACCTCATTATACTTAGTAAATGTTATCTGAATAAATTAATCCCTTCCAATGAGTATTTGGTTAACAAGAATCTCCTAGGAAGCCAGTTGAAAATAAGGACTCCTATGCCCTAACCCCAGTAATTTTGATTCAGATTAACAGAGGAGAACCATTAATCTTTGTATTTTTTTTTCCTTTATTTTTTTAATTTTGGTATCATTAATATACAATCACATGAGCAACCTTGTGGTTACTAGATGCCCCCCATTATCAAGTCCCCACCACATACCCCATTACAGTCACTGTCATCAGCATAGTAAAATGCTATAGAGTCACTACTTGTCTTCTCTGTGCTATACTGCCTTCCCCGAGCACCCTCCCCACGTTATGTATGCTAATCGTAATGCCCCTTATTCCCCTAATCTTTGTATTTTTTAACAATTAACCTCTTGCTATCCCATTAACTTATTTCACCTGCTCACAATGCTTTATCTGAAAAAATACACCTTCCTTCTGGCTGTCTACATTATTCCTTGACTTTCAAGTCCGTTGAGGAGTGACTTGTTTTGGCAATCCTTCCCTTCCAAACTATCACTCTCTTTCCCCAAAGGCTATATTAAATTCCCCTTCAAAAACATTTAATTACAGTATATTGTGTTCATCTATTTACGTCTCCCCTTGTAGACTGTTCTCTTTTTCATGTCTGTATCCCTAACCTACTACACAGCGGCACAAAGCAGATTATATTTAGTAAATGTTATCTGAATAAATTAATCCCTTCCAATGAGTATTTGGTTAACAAGAATCTTTTCTGTATTAATATGGAGAAGTTTAGCACATCTAGTATACAAAATAACAGACCAGTCTTGCAGCCAAGTAGTTTGAAAATACAAAGACTTCTCACAGCTATTTTCATCAGTCCTTCCCACGTACAACAATGTATTCGTAAGTGCATATTTGATATCTGAAGAAATGCGGAGCTACACTGAGTCATACAACCCATTTTTATTATAATTCATACTTTTTTCTTTCACAAGCTAGGTTTTTCTCCCCCACGCTAGGTTTAGAACTGCATTGTCTAACCAGGTAGACACTAGCTACTGTTGGTTATTTAAATCAAAAGCACTTAAAATTAAATGCTATTTAAGATTCAGTTTCTCAGTCACACTAGCCACATTTCAAGTGCTCCAAAACCTTATGTGGCTAGTGGCTACGCTACTGGACTATGCGAATCAGAACGTTTTCATTATCATAGGAACTTAGAAGGATAGCGCTGGCGACACAATTATAAACGGACCTGAGAAAACCTCACTTACTTCTTAGCTCCCACGATCCTCGTGCTCCTCTGCTGCTTAAAGGATGTGGGTCCCGGGGTCTAGTAAATCACAAGCATATGAGTGAATGCTAGGGGCCTATGAACCTTGGCCACAAAAAGACGAATCCCTCGAAGCCCCCAGAGAAATTCCTCTCTCCCGGGCAACTACCTCAAACATAAGAAGGCAAAGGAAGAGTGTGTGATCCTCTCTTTCTACAGAGTCAAGGCAGGTGGCAACACCGGAGTCCTCATCTCCCCCATTCCCAAAAGCCTCTCCCAGAGGCTCTAAAAGGAAGGCGAAGAAAGAGGACAATGGATATAGCAGGCATTGAGCATGTGAAAAGAATAGAAACTAATGGTAATCTGGCCAAGAGCTAAGTCCAGGGAGGTGGTAACAAACAGGGCAGGTGGGGAGAAAGGGACGGAAGGATCTGACCTAAAGGGTGGGGCCTATGAGGGGCTGTGCTAAGCCCAACTCTGATCATGGGACAAAAGCGAGGGACCGCTTGTTGCGGGCTCCAAAGCGCTACCCCTTAAGCGTAAGTCAAACCGAGAAACTCACAGCGGGTACTGCACCGAATCTGGAAGACATCACTCCCTCTCCACGTCTAACAAATTCACCCAAGGGCTCCGGCCAGACCAACGCCACTTCCGCTCTCCTCTCCCGGATGTGGAGTCTGCGCTGCGGGGCCCGTTCTGAACATCTACTTCCGCCTAGCGGTCTCTAAGGGGGCTGGGCAGGGGCGGGTCACGTGAGGAGCCCCACCGGCTCAACTGAGACCCTGCCCCAGGATCGCTCTAGGGACGCGGGAGCCTGGGGGCGAGGTCTAGACCCTAACCTGGCCGCAGAACCCCGCCCTCTCCTATCTTGTGTTTGCGAGACACCTACTATGCCTCCACCCTCCATTCTCCACCCAGCACCAGGACAAGTATCTGGATGCATTCGGAGGTCAATTATTCCCGTTTATTTATTGGAGAAATTACAGATCCATCCCACCCTCCATTCCCCACGCCAGGTGGAGAGACACAGACGCTCTTTAATTGCTGAGGGCACAGGAACTGAAAGTAGTGGCTGAGCAGGAAACAAGGCAGGAAAGGGTCGCTTGGTGAAGACTTAAGTCAATGAAAAACGGGGGCGGATCTCTTCTCATCCACTAGCTTCAGGAGCCAAATGTGCCCTCCTCTTGGGTTCTTTGTGTGGTGGCATAGGAAACATCCTTGAGTGACTCTTGAAATCTTTAGACAAACTATGTCTGGGCCTCTCCCTCAGGGAGCTGTGCTTGAGTCTCTCCTGAGGGGCACTGTGACAGGTTGTCTCAGAAGAGTTGGGATAGGTTTTCTCTGACTGTGTTTACCCCTCAAAGGTGACTGTCTGCCCCTCTCAGACCATGTCTGCCCCTTTCAGATTGACTGTCCCCTCCTCTCAGAGTGACTGTGTCTGCCCCTCTTCTCAGAGGGGCTTTGACCAGTTTTCTCAGTGAAACTGTGATTGCTCCTCTCAAGACTCTGAGGGCTTCTCCCAGAGGGACTAAGATGGCTCCTCTCAGAAGGACTTTGGTAGCTCCTTATGGAGAGACTGGGATGGCTCCTCTGAGAATGACTTCAATGGCTCTTTTCAGAGGAACTGCGACATCAGAGGAACTTCCATGGCTCCTGTTGGAGTGATTGGGATGATTGTGATGGCTCCTCTCAGAGGGACTGTGTTGGATCCTCTCAGAGAGACTGAACAGACTCCTTTCAGAGGAATTACATGGGTTCTTTCCCTACAGAAGCTGTGGTGGTTTGCCTTTAAGGTGACTGTGTGAGGCTCTCTACTCAGGGGAGCCATGTGGGATTCCCTTTGGGCCTGAACTCTGGTTCCTGTTTTGGAGTCCATGGCCTCTCGGCTAGAGATTTCATTTGTGTTTTTCTTAGCTCTATTGCTACTGTCATTTTGAACAGTAAGTACCCAAGGGCTGTCTGCTTGAGGTGGTTTTGAGAGTGGTATTTCTTTGGGGAACCTTGGGCTTGGGCAGTTGGGTAGGGATGGGTTCAGAATAGCTGTCTCTTTGGTTGTTGAGCTGATCTGAATTGATCTGTTTCTCCCCTGAACTGGTCTGTTTCTCCCACACTATGCTCTCCTGCTTTGAGGTTGGATCAGTTGTCCTTAGCTTGACAGCTGGCATCCTATCTCTTTGCTATCTCTTGATAGACAATAGTCTCTGACTCTTTGTTTTGAATGGCAGTTTTTGTTTGACCACAAGTGGTCTAGCCTTATCCTGTCCTCAGGCTTGTGCCCAGCAAAAGTCACTCTGTGGGCTGTTTGAAATGCCTGCTTTGGGCCCTGAAAAAGCCGTTGAATAAAGTTGGGTCGGGAGGATTTTTTACTTTGTCTTTTTAAAGAGGCTGTAGTTGTCTAAGGTGCTCCATTCCTCTTCCTTCTTAACTGGGTTGATAGTTCCCTACAGGAACTCAGTGTTACGGGTAGAACTTTGTGTTTTGTGCAGTAATTTTCTTGGTAATTCTTTTCATTAGACATTTTGAATCATGGGTCTTTTTGGCTTTCACTCTAGCTCACTTTTCATCCAGCCCATAGCTTTCACAGTGACTCCCTTGTAAAGAGTGAATTCGAGTAGATTCACAGTGCCCAGGCTCAACAATGTTTGTCTCTCCTATCCTGCTAGGTCAGGGCAGCTCTATTCCTTTTGCTTGATGTGGACTTGTATAGGAGACTGGGAAGAAGTAGGACTTCTTCTGAATGGGTAGAAGTAGGACTCTTGGAAGCTCAAGTATAGATTTTAGCTTTCCTTAGTGATGGTGATACAGGGTTCCTTGGTGTGATGGGTCTGTCTGTTCTATGATAACTTGGGACTTGGAGACTTTTCCCAGTTTGTAAGCAAAAGCCAAGATGCATCCTATCTCTCCTTGGCCTTCAGGAGTGCTTACCAGGTGGAGCTGTGGATAGATAAGAAGGTAAGGCCCAAAAGTGGCCCGTAATTTATGACCACAATTAAATTGTAAACACCGGCAGACAGTATATTTTAGGACACCTGAATCTATAGGTGGAGGTACATTGGGGTGTACTTCTTACCAGTTTTGCTGCTATTTTTAGCTGCAGATGTTATAGCAGCTGAACTCTCCTGAGAAGTCAGTCTTGGCCTGGGAAAGATAACATGGCTTGAGAGAGTGTTGGGTCTCAAAAGTCCTTGTCTGTGAATCACTATGTGAGTTCTCACTCTCTGCCACTGGAACAGGATCTTTCACAGTGAGAAATACAATGAAAGGACACTCCGACTTTTCTGGGGCAGGAAGATGGTTCCCAGTACATGAAACGGACATGTCCTGAATAACTTCCTGGGATACATCACTGATCTTTGAGTTCATTTTCTGTATTCTCACTCTAGTCCCAGAGTGTTGCTAGATTGTGGAGGACATGGAGCAACATGTCCACATCCTTAAAACCATTGCTGGTTTATGACTATAACATGAACTGTGTCTCTAAATGTAATTTTTGACCACTGAGGGCCAAATGACTTTTCCCAGTTTGTAAGCAAAAGCCAAGATGCATCCTATCTCTCCTTGGCCTTCAGGAGTGCTTACCAGGTGGAGCTGTGGATAGATAAGAAGGTAAGGCCCAAAAGTGGCCCGTAATTTATGACCACAATTAAATTGTAAACACCGGCAGACAGTATATTTTAGGACACCTGAATCTATAGGTGGAGGTACATTGGGGTGTACTTCTTACCAGTTTTGCTGCTATTTTTAGCTGCAGATGTTATAGCAGCTGAACTCTCCTGAGAAGTCAGTCTTGGCCTGGGAAAGATAACATGGCTTGAGAGAGTGTTGGGTCTCAAAAGTCCTTGTCTGTGAATCACTATGTGAGTTCTCACTCTCTGCCACTGGAACAGGATCTTTCACAGTGAGAAATACAATGAAAGGACACTCCGACTTTTCTGGGGCAGGAAGATGGTTCCCAGTACATGAAACGGACATGTCCTGAATAACTTCCTGGGATACATCACTGATCTTTGAGTTCATTTTCTGTATTCTCACTCTAGTCCCAGAGTGTTGCTAGATTGTGGAGGACATGGAGCAACATGTCCACATCCTTAAAACCATTGCTGGTTTATGACTATAACATGAACTGTGTCTCTAAATGTAATTTTTGACCACTGAGGGCCAAAACATTGTATAGAGACCTTTCTCTAGCACTTTCTGGGAAATTTCCATCAGGTCAGCTGGAATCCCAAATAAATTTTCAAAAGATTGACAAGTATCTGCTGTGGCTCTTTAATGATGACTTAGAACAAAGCTTCCTTTCCATAGTGGTTCCCAAGACATTCCCCAGTATTTGTATATTAGAGAGATATTTCTTAAGTAATCTCTGCCTCAGGAGTGACTCTCCCAGGCATTCTGTCATGTGCCCAGGGCAAACCAACCTCTTGGAGCCCCTAACCCTGCCTGCAAGGGCCTAGATGGTGAGCTCCAGCTTTGTTGGGGAGGTTGGAAAAGGCCCTGGAGTGAGTTCTCTAGCTCTCCCACCTGCTTCTCCTTCGTCCACTCCTTAGATGGGCCATCCAATTCTGGCATCTCAAAATACTGGGTTTCTACAGTGTAAGCTATCTTGTCAAAGGGTTGGTTATGAAAGGACAAGGGAAGGGTTGAAGATTGTATCATAGAAGCATCTATAAAGGACTCTTCTGGCTGCAAATTATCTGTCCCAAGGTCTTTTATATCCAAGGCTCTTGGTACTAGCATCTCAGAACCCCAAAGCCTTCCTAATTTAGATGTATTGACAGAGCTTGAAACGAGTGAGTTTGAAGAGTTGTCTAGAAAGCTAGAGGAATAATGATGAACTTGTAACTCTTCTCCTGATGTTAATTCCTCAGATTCTCTACTCTGACAGGACTATCTTAGATTTAATTCCTCATACTCCGTAAATTGAGGAGGCCCTGTTCCGCAGCTCTGGGATGTGACAACCCCAGGGTTACTCACTGAATATTGTCGCTGGGTTGAGACTGCTGTCCTTTCGTGCTGGCTCCTTGGCCCCTTTCTGCCCAGCAGCCTATTGTCATGCTATTCTAATGACTGTGCGGAGGTGTATGCACAGCCCTCACACCTTCCTTGGGTAACAATGGATAAACATCAGCTCGAGAAATCCCAGGTCTGTATTATTTATGAAGCTGCAGTTCTCCTGTAAATAACCCAGTTGTTAAAATGATATGTGTCTATGTAATTGAGTCTTCTGTATACAAATAAATAAGACTTTATTGCAATGTCAGAAGTTAACAGACCAGTCAATAAAATCAATAACTCACTTTTTCTTGAGTATATATCTAAAAAAAAAAAAAATCCGTGATTTCAATCCATGATTTTAAGCTACTCCTTTGGTTCTACAACCTGAGGAATTGGTCCTGGTGCTAATTTCTCAGATTTTACAATCTGAAGTAGCAGCCCTGGATTAACAGAGTCTTTACAATTTGAACTCCTGTCGACTGTTATTTCCAGAATTTGGTGTGTTGGCTCTGTGCTTAATTTCTTAAGATTTCATGTTTTGCAACCATAACCCCGAGGTTAACCCTGAAGTTCTCCCATCTTGCAGTTTGGGGGTCAACACCACACAGTCTGCCATTTGAGAGGTTGGCCCTGGCATTGTCACAGACTTCACAACTGGAAGCAGTGGCCTGGCAGTCACTTCCACAGATTTAGCAACTTTTGGGGAAGCTGCTGGGGTAGCCTCGATCGACTGAATGATTTGAAGCTGTGTCTTTGTAGCCTCTGTGACTTGATTTTGTGTCTTTGACTAATCCCCGTAAATTTTGTAATTTGACCCCATGAGGCTATCTCTGAATATTTAGACTTTGATCCTGTACTTGTGTCAGCTCCACTGATCCCTCCCCTTGCTGCAGTGTCTCAGAGGTGTGCTCTACAGATTCTTCATATCCTGCAACCTGACCTGTTCACTTGGGGACAACTCTGAAGATTCCTCCCTTTGAAGCCATGGCTTAGAGGTCCAACCCACAGATTCTCAGACAGATCCTAACCCCAAAATTATCTCTGAAGACCCCACAAGATGCCATGGCTTTGGGGTCAATTCCATAGGATCCACCACATGCAACCCTGTCTCAGAAGTCAACTCCATAGATTCAGGAATTTGGTATCCAACCGGAGTGCCATCTCTGAAGATTCTGTGACATGACTTATGATTTTGTAAACAATACTATGTCTTCTTCCGTTTGCAGTCTTTTCTCAGAGATTGCCTCCATAGATTCTAGGAATTGAGAATAGGGTCTAGGAGAGCTCTCTGCATATCCAGTAGTTCTATTTATTGGGTTTGGGATCATTCCAGGGAATTCCTCCTCTTTTACCCTGTCCATGGAGGTCAACCCCATAGTTTCTCTTATCTGATGCATGAGCTCTGGAGTCATTCCTTCAGATGCTACAACTTGCTGCAGAGGCCTTGTATATAACTCCCCCAAACCTTTAACTTGAGGCCATAACTGAGATTAACTAGAGTTTCTGGGATTTGGTAGCTTTTCTCTGGGTAATTCTAAGGATTTTGAGCCTTTACCCCATAGCTATAGAGTCAGATCAATAAATTCTGTTACTTGAAGATCTAGCTCCAGATGCATCCCTCAAGATTCCATGGCTTTACCTGTTGGCCTTGAAGTCAACCCCACTAATTTCTTTACAGTTTCTGTACCTTGATGAGCCAACCCTTGTGCAATTTCTAAAGATTCTGTGACTTGAGAAATTGGTATTGAAGGCAAATTCACAGAGTTAAGGACTTGATGCCTTGGCTTTGGGGTCATCTCTTCATATTCTACAGATTGATGCTCCAGTTTCTGGATTATCTCAGAGGAGTCTGTGTGTTGAGAGCTTGTTCTTGGAGTTAGCTCCTCAGATGTTCCTCTTTGAAGCAGTGCACTGGTGCTAATTCCACAGATTTTATAGCTTGCTGAAAAGACACTGAAGATAGTTTCACATGTTTTACTCTTTGCCAACTTTTGTTCTGGAGTAAATTCGAAAGATTTCAGACCTTGTTGCTGCAATTCTGGAGACAAATTTAAAAATTTCACACTAGTTAACACTGGTCCTTGTATAAAATTTATAGTTGGCTCTGGTGCGAACAACACTGATTTCACACCTTGCCATCCTGAAGTCAGCTCTTGGCAATTCTTACCTTGCTGTTGGGTCCCTGATGTCAACGCTACAGATTTCACATCTTGAAAACATTGTCCTGGTGCAGAGGCCACAGATTTAACACACTGTGGCCTGAAGGATGGTAACACCCCTTAAGATTTCAAACTTTCAGATTATAGTAATCAGTTTGACTTCATAGATTTCACATCTTGACAATATGGTTCTGATACAAACACCATAGATTTCTGCTTGTGGCAAGAAATCAACTTCTTATAATTCACATCCTGAGGTTGTAGCGCTGCTTTCAACTCCAATGATTTCACATCTTGAAAACATGGCTGTGGAGCAAACACCGTGGATCTCAAACTAGGCTGCCTGAGGCATGAGGGCAGTTCCTCAGAATTCATACCTTGAGGATATGGCCCTGGATTTAACTCCACAGATTTCACTTTTTGGAAACATGGTTCTAGTGAAAACACCTCTCATTTCAAGTCTTGCATCTCAGAGCCTGACATCAATTTCACAGAATTTGCACTGCAAAGCAATAGATCCCTTGTCCATCTTTCCAGACTTTACATCTTCAAGCCATGGCTCTTGTAGAAATAACATCAATTTCACACCATTTAACTGAGGGCCCCAAGTGAACACAGGTTGCACAACTTGTTCCTCTGCCCCAAGGTGGTTCTCCAAAAAGTAGACTTCTGGAAACTTTATCACTAGAGTTAACTGAGAAGATTTTATACCTTGCAAATATGGTACAGGGCTGAGCCACATAGATTTTTTACCTTGAGATTCTGGTCCAGGGTTCAGTTTAGATGGTTTCATGCCATTTCATCTGTGGCCCTGGATTAGACTTTGTAGAATGTATGCATTGATGTTCTGACCCTAAATTCAGCTCAGAAGATTTCACACCTCACTAGGGGCCAGAGTTGAACTCTATTGACATTATACCTTGAAACACTGTGCCCAGAGTCAATTCACATTTTACATCTTGTATGTGTTGTACAGGGTTAAACAGAACAGATTTTATACCTTTAAGTTCTAGCCCCCGGTTCAAATCTCATACCTTGAAATTTTGTCCCTGAAGCCTACTCCAAAGAGTTTACACCTTGCAAGGGTGGCCCAAGTTTGCACTCCACAGAATATACATGTTGTAATTTTGGCCCTGGATTCAACTCAGAATAATTTACACACTGCATCTATGGCCAGAGTTGCATCTCATAGATGCTACACTTAGAAACTTTGACTCTGGAATCAATTCAGATTTCAGACATTGCAGATGTGATCCAGGGTTGAACACCATAGATGCCTCACTTTGAATCTCTGTCCCTGGATTCATCTCAGAAGACTTCATGCCTTGAAGTTTTGAAACTGAAGTTAATTCAGAAGTTCACACCTTGCAAGGGTGATCCAGGGTTGCAGCCAATAGAATTTACACTCTGAAATTTTGGTCCTAAACTGAACACAGAAAGGTTAATACTTTGCAAATGTAGCCTAAGGCAGAACAGCTTAGATTTTATACTTTGAAGCTCTGGACCACAACTTAACTCAGAAGACTTTATTCCTTGCAACTGTGGCCTAGTGTGGAATGCGGTAAAATTTATACACTGAGGCTGTGGCCCTGGATTCAGTTCAAAGGACTGCCTACCTTGAAATTTAGGCTCATGCTTGAATTCCATAATTTGCTCATCTGGAAGCTTTACTTCTATGCTCAATTCAGATTTTATCTCTTGCAACTGTGGCCCAGGATGATGCTGTGAAGATTGCATACCTTGAGGCCTCATTCCCAGGCACAATCAGAAGATTTTGCATCTGCCACTGTTGCTCAGGATTGAATCCCATAGATTTCACATCTTGAAGCTTGTCCCTTTGTATAATTCTGAAGATTTTACATGTTGCAAGTGTGGCCCAGGATTGAACACCGTAAACTTTATGCTCTGTTCTCTCTGGCCATGGATTCAATTTAGAAGATTTCTCATCTTTCCACTGCTTTCCAGCACTGAACTCAGAAGATGTCACACTGTGAACCTTTGACTCTAAGACTGACTCAGACGATTTTGCAGCCTGAAATTCTGGGTCATGGCTGACCTCTGTGGGGTTCATTATATGAAGCTCTTTCAGTTCAGAAGACTCTATACCTTGCAAATTTGCCCCAGGGTTGAATTCCATAGATTTCACACCTTGAAGGTGTGCCCCTGGTGTCAACATAGACAATTCCTTATCTTGTAACTGTGGACTAAGTTGAACCCCAAAGATTTCACATCTTGCATCTCTGTAGCTACACTCACTTCAGAAGATATCCTATCTTGCCACACTGGCCTGGTGATGAACTCCACAGATTCTCCCCTTTGAAGCTTTGTCTCTGATGCTAACTCAGACGGTGTCACACCTGGTGACTGTGGGATAGGTTTTAACTCAAGTGACTTCAAATCTTGAAGCCTCCACTCTAGTGTCCAGTCAGATATCTCACCTTGTCTCTGTGGTCTAGTGAACTCCACAGATTTCACACATTGAAACTTCCTGCTCTGGAGTCCAAACTTGTAATTTTGGACTAGGATTGAACTCTAAGAATTGCACATCAGGAAGGTTTATCCCTTTAATCAGTGCAGAAGCTTTTTTACTTTTTATCTGGGGTCTAGGGTTGAGCACTGGTTTTGTTAGGGGAGCGTTGCGTATTTTCCTCAGTTCTTGTCCTCACCACAACACAGAATTGAAGGGCAGAGACACAGTAGTGAAACAGAGTAAAAGTTTTATTTAAAGTTATATACTTAAAGAGAGAAAAAGTGCTGGCAACCTCAGGGAAAAGAGGTGCCCTGAAAGGTTTAAGTTCTTTTTCAAGAGAGAAAGTGCACGCTCAGAGAAAGGGGAATGTGAGCTGCCTCATAGAAGAGATGCTGAAAGATTGGGAAAGTTTTACTAAAGTTATGTACTTAGAAAGTGCGGGTGACCTCAGAGAGAGGAGCATGCCTAGTGGTTTAAGGTCTGGGGTTCTATAGGTAGTTGAGGATTTTTTAGGAAAGCAGCAAAGGGCTAGGTGCAGACCTGCCAAATTGTCCCAGAATGTTCATTTTTGACAAGACATTAAGTTTCTTCTTTTAATTTAACACAAGAAATTTACTGTTTTGATTCCCTTCCAGGATATCCATTTCTGTCTGGGAGCATATCAATCAAGACTATCTGCCCTGCTTCCAAGGTGGGCTGAGTTATTGTCTGTTTGGTTAAAATACCATTTTAGCTTTAAGACAGAGTTCTTTCTGAATAAGCTGGGCCTTTGAGCAGGATACAGTAAATCTAACAATCATATGTTCTAATTGATACAGTGAAAACATAGGCTATGCTGAGATACTTTTCTTTATCTGGAGAGTATTCAACATTCCAAGTCAAGCTGCTCCTGGTCTTCTGAGCTTTCTATTTTTAACTGGTTAACTTGTTCAGTCTCTTCTAGTGGGCTTTACTGGCTTTATTCTCTTTCCACCCCACTCATATCTGTTTTCCTGCCTAACAGTTTCACTTCTTGAAGCTTTGTTCCTGGGTCACTTCAGAAGATTTCATACCTAGAAAGTATGGTCTACAACTGGACCCTGTGGATTTCACGTCTGGAAGCTTTATATCCATGGTTAGCTCAGAGCATTTCCTATCTTGTAACTGTGGGCCTGAGTCCAACTGTGCAGATTTCACACCTGGACACTTTCTCCCCAGCATGAAATCAGATGATTTCTTACCTTGTAGCGTTGGACTAGGTTTCAGTTCTACAGATGTCACACCTTGATGCTTTTCCCTTGAGATACTTTGGATTCACACCCTGCACCTGTGGTTGAGTCCCAAAATTCATAGATTTTAAATCTTGAAGCTTTATACCCATGATCAACCTAGAAGATTTCAAAGATTTCTTGCAACTCTGAGCCTGACATGAATTCCACTGATTTCACTTTTTGAAGTTTTTTCCCCAGTATCAATTTAGATGATTTCACACCTTGCAGCTGTGGCCCAGGTTTCAACTTCACAGATTCCACTTCTTGAAACTTTGTGTCTGAGATTGATTTAGAAGAGCTCCTCCCTTGTAATTTTGGCTCAGGGTTGAATAGCAATTTCATATTTTGAAGCTTTGATCCCAGGATTAGCTCAGAGGATTTCACAACTTGCAAGTGGGAATGGTCTCTAAATTATTTATGTTTTACATCTGGAAGCTGTGTCTTTGAGGTCCCTTCAGAAAATTTTACACCTTGGAGTAACAGCCTAGTGTTGACATCTGTAGGTTGGCTACCTGAATCCCTGTTCCTATGGTCATTTCAGAAAATGTTATACCTTGCAACTGTGAGCTGGAATTAACTCAGTAAATTTCATATCTTGGGACTGTGTCTCAAGTAGCAACTTAGAAGATTTTTGACCTGCCACTGTGACCCAGAATTGAAATCCTTATTTTGTGTGTTGAAGCTTTGTCTGAAGACTCAACTCAGATGGCTTCATCCTCTTCATCCTTTTCAAGTGTAGTGGGAAGTTCAACTCCGTAGTTTTATCCCTTTCTGCTTGTGACCCTTGGCTTAACACCTCAGATTTCTTCTCAGGAAGCTGTGGCTTTTGTGTAAGCACGAGAGACTTCCTACCTTGATGCTGTGTCCCTGGGGGTGACTGTGACAGTTTCACTTCTTGAAGCCTAGGATATTTCTCATCATGCAAGTGAAGCCTAGATAGGACTGTCATGGATTTTATCTCACAGAGCTTTGACCTCAAAGTCAGATCACATGATTTTGTACTTCTAAACTGTGGTGAAGGTTTCACATCAAAGCCCTGAGGCTGACATTCTCGGAGAGATGCCGAAGACTGTAGCCCTCAGAGCTTTGGACTTAGAGTCGACACAGATGACTGTGTGTCTCTTTAGTGTATCAAAGGTTTCAACTCTGCAGGTTTGGCCCATTGTGACGGTAGCCCAACATTTGGCAGAGATTTCACACCTTGAAACTCTGATGCAGGCCTCCACCGAATAGATCTCATACCTCCAAGCTGTGACCCTTGATTCCTCTCCACAGTTTTCCTACCTTAAAGCTGTGGCTCTGAGGTGATGGCAAAATTTTCCCTTTTTTCAACTGTGGTCCTCAGGGGAACTTAGGGGTTTTCACACTTTGCAGCTGTGACCCAAGGCTGAACTTCATACATGTTGCACCCCTAGAGTCAGTTCAGATGACTTCACATCTCTTAAATGTAATAGTAATTTCAGCTGTGCAGATTGGAAAACTTGAAGTTGTGACCCAATGTGTATCGATGTAACACTTTGGAACTCAGGTCCTGGTCTCCACTGAACACATCTCTTACTTTCAAGCTATGGCTCTGAAGTTGACTTCAGGGGTGTCTCTTGGTGCAGCTGTGGTCCTGATATCAATTTGGGAGACCTGATGCTTTGCATTTGTGGTTCACATTTGAACTCTTTAGGTTTTACACATTCTATGTTTGATTCTGGAGCCAAT